AATAGTTGAATGGATTCCATATAATAATATACAAAATATTAAATATTTAACTAAAGGTGGTTGCTCTGAAATTTATAAAGCAAACTGGATTAATGGATCTTATTTTAAATGGGATTCAGTCGAACAAAAATTAATAAGATACGGAAAGGAAAATTTAATACTCAAAAGATTAGAAAATATTGAAAGTGCTAGTAGAACCTGGTTTGAAGAGGTATATAAATGAGAGTTATTATACGAATTAATAATTAAAGTTTGTTAAATAAAAATATCTGATTATTTTATTTCTGTTTTATAGGCTAAAACTCAATTAACATTCAGCACTAAATCGAGTTATTTCGTTGAAAGTCGTGGTCTTACTCAGGATCCATTAAATAAAGATTATTATCTTGTAATGGGTTTATATGATATAGATTTAAGAACATATTTACAGCAAAGTCGTAATCAACTCACATGGAAAAAACGAATTCATATCATTTTATACATAATTGCAGCAATTGATGAACTTAAAATAAGAAATTCTATTCATAGAGATTTGCATTCAGAAAATATTCTATATTCTAAAAATATTGATATTTGGCATATTAGTGATTTTGGATTTTGTGGCCCTGTTGAAAAACCATTAGGAAGTATATATGGAAATCTTCCTTATATAGCACCCTAAGTTATTTTTGGAAAAGGATATACTTTTGCCTCAGATATTTATAGTCTTGGTATGCTTATGTGGGAGATTTCATCTGGACAAACACCATTTGCTGATTTTGATCATGATTATGACCTTGTGATGAAAATAATGAATGGGATGAGGCCAAAGGTAGTACCAGGAACTCTGGCAGAATATAAAAATTTAATGATACAATGTTGGGATGCTGATCTATTGAAAAGACCTGAAAATAATACTCTTTTTAATAAAATTTTAGAAATGCGTAATTCATATTATCAAAATGAAAATGAAGAAACTGGCATTAATATTAATAGTATACTATCAAATGTAGAATCTAATATCATCTCTACTTCTATTAGTTCATTTGTTAGAAAATTTAGTAAAGTTCATATTTTTAAAGATTTACCTGAACCAAGAAATGCGACTGAAGGTATTCTAATAATTGTATTCATTTAATTGATTTAAAAAATTTTAAAATAATAATGATCACACCCAATTTTTATGCTAATAGATACCTTTTTAAAATTAGATTATGAAAGTAATGATAGTAAGCAAAATAGTCTTACAATTCCAGATAGTAAGTAAAGTTTATATTTATTATTAATTTATTATTTATTGAAAGGTCATTCTTAGATATTAGTTATTGTCATATTTTGTTTTTTGCGTTAAGTCTATAAAATTTAACAAATAAAATTTTATGTAACTTTAAACTGACAGATATTAAATAAGGGCAACTCTAAAAGTATTTCTTCATATGATTCGGATGGTAATAGCTTTTTCATTTATTATTACTTATCATAATAAATTTTAATAGAAAGCGTTAAATCTAAGAAAACAAAACTAATTAATGAAAAAGGTATTTATTTGAATAAATAAAACTTTTTAAATATTTAAGATTAAATAATACTTTATTTTAGAAATCTGTATTAATCATATAAATAATGAAATTGAAATACCATATATACTGTACATACCATACAAGTAGATGAAGGTAAATAAAAATAAATAAATTTATTTAAACCAATTAAATTCTTTAATAAATTTAATTTATAGATGAAGAAATATACAATAATCCAAATCTTCATTCAGAAGATCAAAATGAATTAGAAATATCTGAAGGTAAATAAAAACTATTTTAAATTGATTTTATACGAATAATATATTAAAATACATTTAAAACAAATTTATACAAAGGTTGAAATTGAAATTATATTATATTTAAAGTAAACCATAATTTATTTTTCTTAAGGATTATTTAAACACTAAGATTAAATAAGATAAAGTTTCTTAGTCTGTAATTTAAATAGTTCATAGAAATGTGATTTATTTAAAGTTATAAAGTACCAATTTTTATCTTTGCAATAAACTTTGAATAATTTAAATATGAATTGTGCATAAAATTCATGAATTATAATAGAAAATTAAAATTTCTTTTTAAATTGCATTTTCATTAATTACCTTTTATTCTGGATAACTATATAATGATCAAATGATCAAAAGTTCGATTGTGAAATGGAATTTCAATAATAGTTCTCGATAACATGATCATCTATCCACCCGATTATATAATGGTTTATCCAATTTGCAATGAATTATAATTTATTATTTACCTGTACAGCATTTCTTGAAATATAATTATGTATCTAGCAAATTCAATCTCTCTATACATATGGAGTATTAGCATCTAATCTTTAACTTTTAAAAATTCGCAATTATCAGCAAATATATTAATTGGAAAAAAATACTGCGTCGTGTTTATTACTATATTGGAAATTACAGAGGAATATGTCATGCTGTCAAAGAAAAATAAATCCATCGACTAAAAAAGTTTTGAATGTAAGTTTATTCCTATTGTCATTTCGAAACACAATTTAGCAATAAGAACGATGAGGAAAGGATTAGAAACAGAACTTTTTAAACTACTTTTTATTTTAAAATTTACTTATTATTATTTATTTTATTTTATTTAAACAAAATATCTGAAGAAGGTTGAATACATCTTCAAAATTCAAGCACATCAAGAACAAAAAGGTAAGCAGATAAAAGTCCATTTTCAAAACAAGATGAACTGTAAGTGGGATGGGAAAGTGCTGATATAATCAGTGTATGATTTTCAAACCTAAACATATGTGCGGAAAATGCACATTATATGATGAGAATATGTGCGAAAATTGTGATGGATAGTGCGCAAATATTATATATTAAATATTTTACTAATGATTATAAGAAATGTAAGTGCGGACCGCGCACAAATATTTTTTGAAGCGTGCGGAAATTCACCAATAATGTGCACGCGCGTACATGTCCGCACTACCAAATAATACATTAGCTATAATGTCTTTTCGTATATCAAAGTAAGATGGATATTCTTTAAATAGCTGGCTTTGATTAAAAAAAAAAAAATACGATGTAGAGTATTTATATAATAAATCGGTATGATATTATAGTAATCACTTACCCTACCTTATACTCTGAGTAATGTTCGGAAATCCAGAGTACACCAGGATTTTTCTTGCAGCAAGAAATAAACCGATGTATGCTGGATATTACTTTCATTATTTTATTTAGTGTTTTTAAAGGCTAAACAAAAAAAATTGGAATTGTAAATTAATATATTCGTAATTTTTATAACGATATAATTTCGAAAATATCGAAAGATAATAGTAGTAATTGGAATAGAAATTAATTTACTGACTTCCTTTTTTTCATAATTAACGATCATATTTATAATTGCGGTAATTATTTTTTTTAATAAATAAAATCGCCCAAGAAATCCAAGCCGAATTTAATAAGAACGATAGACTTTCTTTCCGAGACTAACAAAAAGCAATCAACATTCCTTTGGCAGCGAATGTGGCGGAAGATAATTCTAGAATTATTCCAAATGCTCGGAATTTTAAAGAAATCTTTTTTTTTTAGCATTATTCTGATTGTCATTATTATTTCGTAGAAGGGAGAAAATTCTAAAAAAAAAAATTTTTTTTTTTGATTTAATGTTAAATCTGGACTAGCGAACAAGAGTAGACGAAAATAGTACGAAAATTGTGCTAGTATTGGAATATCCTACCTCCGTATAAAACTTTCCAAATCTATTGAATTTATTTTTATTATTATTCAACATACATATCACCTCATTTAATATCGGGACACTTTTGACTTTCAAATTTTTTTTGGACTCAAATTATAAAAATATAATTTGTTTACAAATCTAGAAAAAAATTTTTGTGTAACCAATCAAAATCATTTTCGAAAATCTCATGGTTAACTTGGCGGGCCAAAATATCACACTTTGTCATTAATAGATTGTATAAATTAGTAAAAGAATGACAAGTAAAAGAAGCACCGAGCAAGCCTAAGCAAACAAACCCAAACCACTAAAGTTCCTGAACCAAAAAAGAACCCGAGGACAAAGGCAAGCAAGAGTTGAGAATAAAATTTAGGTTCAAATCAATAATCGAATAAATTAGTTCAAATATTATTTATGTCTTTATTGTATTGTAAATTTTATTAATGGCCTTTTTTTAACCTTTGTTATAATTGATCATTGAATTCAAACAAATTGAGTTGTTAAAAATTTAGACTCTAATAAACAGACGTTGAAAATTACAAATTAAAATCTATAAAATTTCAAGGAAATTGTTAAAATTTGAATCCGTTTTACTAAAATAGCTATTAGTTGATTAGATTCAATATCCCTAAATACAAAAAAAAAAAAATTATCGAATAATAAATGTACGACTTATTTCTTTAGTACAATAATTGAAACATTGATAGGTTATCATATTTTAAAAAGAAATCTTTTAATGAACTATTAATAGTAGGTCCAAAAATAACCGATTGTTACAATTGTTATAATAAAAAAAAATTTTTTTTCCAAGATTTTCCTCAAACATTCATTACTTTATTTGGACTTAATCTAAAATTAGCTAAACCTGTATTTATGCAGGTATTAACCTTTTTTAGTAAATTTCTCGAAATTAAAAAGCTCGGCGTAAGAAATATCATTTTAATAATGATTTTCGTTTTTTTAAGCAACAAAAAAAGTATATATAGAGTGGTGGAATTCAAAGCTCCAACAATTCATTAAATCTTTCAAACTCAAATATTAATTTTAAACAACATTTCCTCAATTTTTACATAAAATAACCCTAAATCTTTTAATATCGATTTTAAAATTTCAATATGTCACAACCTGGCATTTTCACCAAATCAAATCTGGTTTATATACCGCTGTCAGTAACGACCGCTCACACGTTAAATTTCATATTTAATTCTCCATTATCTACATGGCAAGAATTTCCTCCAAAATTACCTACCTCAGTATATTCTTCAATATTTTTTATCCCATTATTATTGTTTTTATCACTTTCATTTGAACCAATTCAAACAAGCAAACGGTTTTATACGTTATTATCTCTCGCTCTTATATTTGTTTCAATTCCAATAAGTTTTCGCGGAAAATATCCACCGACACTTCATAACGTTTTTGTAGCTTATGGAGCAATATTTGGACTAAAAATGTTATTGTTCTTAAAATCTAATCAGAAGTTCCATTAGTGTAGAAATATTATTTTATAATAAATTTGGAAGCACCCTGACTAAGTATAATTGATGGATCATTGTGAAAGTTGCGAAATGACACTTTTTCTCGTGACCTCCGAGATGTCCGATTGGTGAACAAATAATTCGTGAATTCAAGTTTTTAACTGGGCTTGAAACGAAAAACGGTTAATAAATAGTGATTCGGATAGTTCCCTCGTATTTTCTAATTATATAAATAAAAATGATTCAATTATATATAATCTTAAAAAACGATCGAACATTGAAAATTAAATTAACCGAAATTAAGAGAAAATTTTTTTTTAAAAAAATAAATAATCATTCAAAAAAAAAACCCAAAAGTTTTAGCATGTTTACTAAATCTGGAGGAAATAGCATATGACCTGCATCCGACAATAATTATTCACTAAAACTGATATTGCAATTAGCATCGTTTGATAGAGATTTATTAATTAGAATATTTTTAATATCAGTTGGTTAATCGGATCACATTAGCAATAGCCTACAGGATAAAAAAATTATACTTTAAATTTTTTAAAGAAAATATAAAAGTTATATTTTGTCTAATATTCCGTATGTTGGATGTTTGAATATAAACTCTTGATATTAAAAAAATGTCAATGGAACACTCTAATTCGACTACCAATCATTTTAAAAATCGATCCGGTTACCAACTACCAAATTTAGTTTTTTATTATATTATACATAGGGTGGGTGGAAATATTTTCATAATAGTATTTCATAAACTATTATATTAATAAAAATGGATTCAAATCAAGTAAGTAACTTTAAAATCGAAATAAAAAATTATGAAACTTATAATTCATATCTTTTTTAACTTCCAACAGTAGTATAAAAGAAATCTACAAGACACCAGTATCGAGCATCGGAGGAAGCCAGATTTGAATTGTTCAAAAATTTTTGGCATAATGAATAATCTTTCTCGAGCTTATGAATGTGGGATAACGTTATTAGAGTAAAGATACGAGAAAAGTATCAAGATATGTCTTCCAACTGGAATCACTTGATAATTTTCGCCATAACTAGCAGGCAATTTTGTTCTCGACGTCTCCCGATAGTACTCATGAATGACCGCTTTTTCCTGTAGAATAACGAACATACTTTTATCATAACCTCAAAATCATGTAATCAGAAAATTAAGGCTACGACATGGATAATTAGAAAGGATATGATTAATTATAACTCAAAGATCGTTTTATAAATCTTTTAAATAAAGTGTTCAAAAGTATTTATTCATTCATTTGTAAATTTTAATAAGAGAAAGGAATAATAGATTTATCCTAATTTTCAGTAAATTATTAAAGTTTGTATCTTATTTCTGATTTCCCTAAAAGCGAAGTTCTTTGTATGTAAATAAACCAATTGTGATATTTTTAATGTAATGTTCTGAGAAGCAAAAGAAAATCTCTTAACGAGATAATACTTTTGATTATTGAACTCACTAAACCAATCACGTAAAGAAAGAAAATGGATAAAACAGCAGAAAAATATGAGAAATGTGTAGAGAATCGAAAAGGTAGCCTTTAGCAGGAATTATTTTCAAAACTGGTTTATCAGAAAAGAAATTATGTAAGAATACGAAATGTAAGAAGAAATTACAAGGGATTTATATATATTATCTAGGAAAATTTATGCCTGGATGAGTCATTGATAGAAAAATCAGTAAAAGTAGGCTGATCTGATCATATACATGTAATACAAAAAAGATCAAAGAAATTATTATAAAAAATTATATACGAAGAGACGATCATGATAATATAATATTTTCTTATTTGAAAATTTATGTAACATCAAAGTTATGAATGGAAATAATATATAATATTGAGATTTTACTCATGTTGATAGCGTGGTAAAAACCAGCGTGATAGAGATATAAAAAAAATAGAATTCAATATGAAAGGAAAACAGAAAAAAATAGGATTAATGTGATAAAAATACAGGAATAAAATGGATATAGTATATTACCTTTATACTCAACTACCTATAATAATAATCAGTTAACTTCTAATTCTTAAAAAAAAAAATTTATTAAATACTCTAAAGTTTATTGCTTAAACTTTAAGAATAATTAGTTAGTTTATTAAAAAAAAATAAAAATTAATTGATCCTTATCATTTTAAAATTGATAATTTAATATTATAATATCTTAATTTAAGACTATATAATTTTTTGTAATAAATTTTGAATAAATATAATATAATATATAGTTCATAATCATTTATTTTAAAAAAATATACTGCAAAAGAAAATTTCTAAAATTGCAGAAGTAAGAGCTAAGTTACAAATTAACCAATCAAATCTCTTAAAATCTTCACTATAGCCTTATAGCGAAGTTGATGTCTAGGACATAGAGTTCATTATAACAAGAGTTGATTGCATACAAATAATCAATTAAGTGCATATTATATAAAATAAATAATATTACGTGATATTATAAATATTTTTTATTGTAAAACTAAAAAAAAAACAGCAGTAAATATACTGTCCTAAACTAGAGGAAAAATAACACAGAATTGTACAAAATAAAAAATATTATAAGATATATCTAATATAATTTAACTATAATATATAAAATATCAATCCTTTAAAGGACTAAAGAATTTAATGTATAATTTAATTTTGAAGTAAAAATATAAAATCTTATTAATGCATTATTATATCTATTCTGATATATTTAATCAATAAATTTGCTTTAAAATAATTAAAAAAATTAATAATATTTCTGTTTAATCATAGATTTTCTCATTTTTAAACTCACAATTACCATTCAAGTTATTTCATGAATTTTGTATAAAGAAGAATATCAATATTATATTTCTGAAAGTATATTATTTCTATTATTTCTTCTTTTAACCTATCATTAATCTTTCTCATATTATTCTCCAATTAAATTTTACTTTTTTTCTAATATTCTATTATAGCTTTACTTACTTGAAATATTTTTTAAAATGTTAATAATCTATTCACACTTTTTTTAGAACTTATTTATTATTTATTTTGAACTTACAAAGCCTACATTACTTTTAAGTTATTCTTCTAATATTAAGATTGTAAATTTTATAATATTAAAATATATTTTGCTATTAAATAATAACAAATAATTTTAATTGCGTTTATTTTTTTAAAATTATATTCTAAAATAACCAATTGATAGATAGTTGTAATTTTATTAATAATCAGATTAGAAGTATAGAATGCTGATATTATGATAATACTTTATTAATTGATTTTATTAAATAAATTTTACATTATACTTACAGCCTTCTGCTTATCATGTTATTATATAAATATAAAGAACTAGATATAACAATTGCTTAAGAAACAAATTCATATAGTATGATAAGAACTAGAATTCTTTAACAATTTCTTTCAAAGCAATATATAAATTATGAAATCTTACTATCATGGTAAATTTTCAAGTTAATAGTCAAATATAAAGAGACCAAAATGATTATAAAATATTATGATTCAAGAAATGATCAGAATGATCAATCATCTGACTTATTTTAGATTATTAGTGTGTTTAGAAATCTGTTACAATAATGATTTATTACTGCTATATTTGATTAATGAATTTGTGAAATCTATTATGATTCCTAATTTGTTTAATTTATTAATAGTTCTAATGAAAAAATTTATTAAAAAAAATTTCACTTTATAACTTTAAAAATAAAATAATATTTTTATTTGTCATTTATATTTATTTGAATTATAATATAAAAATTTAACATTTTGATAGAATTCTCTAAAAGTCTTCATTTATGATCATTAAAAATATTCTTATAAGCTGAATAATTTTGCTCTATATCTACATCTGAAATAGGCAACCAAATATATATTAATGCTATTTTAAATAAAATTGGTAATGTGTAATTTTTTTTATCCAATAATGTTTAAATCAAAATCTTCTTCAAAAGATTCTTTTAGCTTACAATATGCTTCAGTATTAGCCTTTTGGACTAATGGATTTTTGAACTATTGAAGTATTGGATTAATGGATTTAATTCATTTTAATTTCATTAAAATTTGGACTACTGAACTGTAGATTTCGTCTAACAACTATAAATTTATGTATAATTTTAGCAATATGTTCATAATTGTAATAATTATAGAATATATATTATATACTAATTATTACTTAATATAATAAAATTTTACAAATAATTAGGCTCCAGCTCAATATAATATCTAGATATTTTCATTTAGAATTTTGATCTAGCAGGATGAGGTAAATTTGAAATGTTTTAATATTAATTACAAGCTCTCTGTCACCTGAAAAATTAAGATCATTTAGTAGAATTGTTATAGTTGAACAATTTTATTATCTTTCAAATTTTTAAGTTAGACTAGCATTATAAATTTGGTCAGAATTATAGTATATAAAATTATAATTGGGCCAAAATTATATAATCATAGTCCATTTGAATTGGAGTTAAACTAGACATCTCTATTAGGTTTAAAGTCTAATAGTTCATTATTAGGAATTGGACAAGGTCCAATTCTAACACCGATATACTCCCCATTAAATTATTTTCTAGTAATGAAAATTCATTAATTTTACTATAATAATTCAAATCATGTCGATTACTCTGTGCTTATATATATTTTAGATCAAAACATTGAATAGATCTAGAAAGAGAAAGTGCATTATGTCTATCAATATATTTTTTAAATTTAATTGATGCTTGCTTATATACTTCACCAAAAATTGTTTTATAATAATGGGATCAACTCCTCTTGATGCGCATTTCTCAATTAATTCGCACATAATAGTTGATCTTTTGTACTATTTTCTAGTGATGTACGTGTATGATCTAATCTTAAAATCACACATGGTGCAATTGGATGAGATTGTATTTTAAAAATTCTAAATCAGTTACCAATCTTAAATAAATTTGTTAATATACAAATAAAAAATTATTTAAGGTAAATATAATAAATATAATTAAAATATTATTTACCTTTAGCATTATTTA